CAGCTCGCGCAGGGCGCGCACGCGGCGGGCTAGCTCCGCGATCAGCCGCGGCTTCACCTTCTTGCGGGCCATGTTTGCCTCCGAGCCGATGGCCCACCGGAAGCTAGAGCGCCCCGAGCCCGCCCATGCCGGAAGGAGCTGGTGTCTGACGTAAGTGCGTCCGCCCCCGGCCGGAAGCCGAGATAAATCCGCACCATGGCAGGGGTGGGGCCTGGGAGATCTGCGACCTCCCGCAGGACGCGGGTTAAGGGCCAGAGGCGGTCCCCGACTTGGGAGATATCGGATTCGGACTTCGAGGGCGACGCCACGGCGGAGGCTGGTGCTGGGGCCCAGAGCGCGGCAGGGAAGCGCAGGGCAGCATCTGAGGCACGGAGGCCGGAGCAGGCCTTGCAGCGCTTGGTGGTGCGCGTGGACCCAGGTGCAGGGGCGTGGGACCGGGGACATTCTACAGGGCACGGCCCGGCTGACCCAGTTGCTGGCGGACGTGTCCTTCCTGCATCCTGAGGTGGGGGTCCCCAGCCAGGCCAGGGGTCCAGCTCTGTGGGCTGTCACTCTAGGGAAGAGGAACACGGGAACTGGGAGGGGGTTTGAGCCTGGCTGTGGGTCTGCCCCAGAATGCCGCCAGTTCTGGTTGGTAGTGGATAGTAACTGAACTGTACCCCACGACCCAGCTGTCCTGGAAGACCCTGGCTCAGACATCCTGATGGAGGCACTGAGTGCCCTGGGCTGTGAGTGTCGCATTGAGCTGCAGAGTCCAGCCCGTAGCCTGCAGTGGAGCGGACTGAAGCCTGACCCCCAGGCCCCAAGCGTGAGTGTCCCCCAAGAGTGAAGCTCTGGTCCCAGGCAAGCCTGGCAGAGGAGCAGACAGAGGCCCCAGCCCCTCAGCACTCTGCCAGTAAGAAGCCAGCTCTCAGCCGCTGCCAGAGGACATTGTCAGTGAGGATGGGGTTAATGGCCTTTTGGAACCTAACATGGGATTTTTGGAGGGCAAGCCCGGGTGTGGCTGGGGGAACTGCTGGGGTGCCAGTATTGGCCCTGGGCACTCAGGCTGAGGTTGAGCAGCAGCACTGTGTCCCCACAGGTGCTTCCTGAGGTGTGGGCTACAGAGGACCAGGAGCTGCTGCTGCTGTTGGAACCTGAAGAATTTCTGCAGGGTGTGACTCAGCTTACTCAGGTGCTGGCCTTCCTGTGCATGGGGCACAGGTGGGCTGGGGCTTCTGTCTAGTCAGAATCTACAGAGATGTTGAACGGGGTTCCCCTACGACAGCCAACAGCCCACCCTTATTGGGGTGCTCAGTAGCCTCTGTTAGAGAACTAGAATGCCCACCTGACATTTTTCCAGGCATGCCTAAGTTAGACCTTCTGCTGGGTCCCAGTGTCCAAGAGTCAGCATTTGTTGAGCACTTGTGTGCCAGGTAAATGTCTACCTGGGGTACAGAGATGGCTAGAAATGAGGGGACTCTGTCCAACTCTTCTAGAACCCAGGGTGTTCCCAAGGGAGGTGCTCCTTAGCTTGTTTGACCTCATGGAGGCACAGAGCTTGTCTTCATGAGACTCTGCTCTTTTGTAAAATGGCTGTGGCTTGGTGGCACATGACCCCACTGCCGCAGCCTTCTTGTCAATAGGTGTGAACAAGTGTGCTGTACTTACCTTAGTCCTCAGGTCCACCCTGCTCCATGCCCTGGATTTCGCCCGAGAGTCCTGCCCACGTCCATGTGGCTATCATCGGGCTGGATGCCTACCTGTGGTACTGTTCACTGTAATGCCTGTAGCAAACTTGGCTGAGATGGGTTCCTGGGGAATGTGGGGGTGGCTCTACAGGGTGCTGTATGAGTCCCGTTGCCCAGGATAGGCCCAAGTGGAAGATCCCAGGGAGGGTAGGACTGAGGGTGTGTGGGGAATGGCGGGATGGTTGCCTCTTTTTAGGTCTCACCAGCTGAGTGCCCAGAGGCCCCAGCAGCCAGTGTGTCCAGAGGTGGCCCAGACCCAGATGACCATTGGCTGGCCTGAGGTGGAAGAGGTAAGGGCCAGCCTGAGTTGGGTGGCACAGTGGGCTTTGTCCCAGCACAGGGGCTGCTCTCGAGTAGGGCCTCACCCACACCCACGGCTTGCCCTCCCAGGCCCTGGTGCTCCTGCAGCTCCTCAGAAACATGGACGTGCTATTGGTGGCCTCGTGGCAGGAGCTGAGTCGGCATGTATGCTCCTTCACCAAAGCCCTTGCCCAACGCCCCTCCAAGTACGTGTCCTTGCCCACTGCTGAGACAAGATGGCCTACAAGGGGTGGGAGAAGTGCCTACTGAGAGCAGACAGGCCAGAGGACTTTGCTAAGCTGAAAGGATACAGAAGGCCTCTGAAAGGTCCCTATGCCCTCCTTGTTTCAGGCAGTACCGGGACTCCCAGGCCTTTTCCTTCTGCACAGGAGGGCGCTGGGCCTCAGGCCAGAAAGTGGCCAGAGATGGCTCCGGGCTGCAAGGGGTGTGGTGGAGGCAGATCCAGCAGTTTAACAGGGTCAGCCCAGCTGTGGCTGATGCTGTGGTTGGTGCCTTTCCCTCCCCCCGCCTTCTGCAGCAGGTGAGCCCCTCCAAGAGTCCCCGTCCCTGCCCAGGAATGGAAACCAGGTCTCCAAAGCGCAGCCTTCTCACTTCACTTCCTGCCCTAGGCACTCCTGGACTGCAGCACGGATCAGGAGCGCCTGGGCCTCCTGGCTGACCTTCCCGTGAAGGCCCACAAAGGCAGGCAGCACCGCAGGGTAGGGCCTGACCTCTCCCGTAGAATCTGCCTCTTCCTGACCACTACCAACCCTGACCTCCTCCTGGACCTAGGCTCCTGAGCACACCTGCAGGACCCATTTGGCTTCCTCACGCATCCATCAGCAGGACAATATATAGCCCAACCCAGAGACTGACCAGACACCCTGCAAGGCAGAACCTCAGCCCACCTGGGGTGGACTGGGGTAGACTCATTCCTTGGCTGGTCAGGTCTGAGCTTGACGGGAGGGTGAAGGGTGGAGGGAAATTCTGGAATAAGCAGAAACACATGCTCTTCCCCATTGCAGGGGCAGCAGAAAGACCTGGAGAAGATGGGAATTCCTGGCTATGGACCCTGTGGCTTCAGGGGAGCCAAGCAGCCAGGCACTGTGTCCAGAAGGGGCTTTTGGGCAGTACCCAGGCCCACAGCTATCCAGAGGCTTTCATGGTGGCTTCCTTGGGAGAAGTAAAAGATGCTGGGGAGAGGAGGACCGGGCCTGCCCCTTCTAGGCTCTGGACACAGCCAGACCTGGAAGCAGGGAAACTGGACACAGGGGAGCCAGAGACCTTAAGGTGGACTCTTTCTTTAATCTTACAGCTGTGTGGGCATTTGTTACAGTTATTAAAGTCTCTGTGACAGGAGCAGCAGCTGATAACATGCAAAGCGAGCTAAAAAAAATCCAGGTCTGGCAGGAACCAAAAAAACTGAGCCCCAGCAGAACCCTTCTTGTCCCCAGGGCAGTGGACGCCTGCACCCTGGCCCACCCCAGCCTCCCAGGCCCACAGTCTGGGTCCAGAGGTGCTCAGGCTGCTTCCCCCAGGGCATTCAAGAGGAAGATGCTGAGAGCACAGGTATGGCTTCTACCCTGCCCAACACGGGCAGCTAAGTGGACTCGACAGCCTGGGCCCTGGACCTCCTGCAGAAAGACTGTCCTGGCTTTGGGGAGATGGACAAATCCAGATGGATTTCAGCCCAGCTTTCCTCTTTCCTGCCTGTTGAGTAGCTGGAGGGCAGGGGTGGAGAGAATGCCAGTCACAGGTGGAGAAGGCAGTCTTCATCGAGAAATAAGTCAGGTCCGTCGACAGCGCTTTCTCTGGCAGGGCCTGGTCTCTGGGCTGTTGGGGCTGGTCAGGTCCACCACCCTGGGTGAGGACACAGCAGGCTTAAGGTGGCTGCAGTTCATGTTCAGGACCCAGCCCAGTTTGTTGTGTAGTGCCTGCTTCAGGCCCGGTGGCAGGGGCAGGCCCTCAAGGGTGTCCCCCGAGTCTGGTCGCAGCTGGCGCAGGCGGTAGCAGCATAGGTACTGCAAGGAGGTCATGCTGGCGCAGGAACGGATGACCTTCATACTGCTCTTGGCTGCTGTGGAGCACACCATTGGGTAGAACTTCTTGTTCTGTAGCCGGGTCGCTGCCACCCCTGGAAGGAAAACACGGGGAAGGGAAGCCTGCCTGCCAGGCTCAGCCCTCCCAAAACACCCTGCTGGGGTGGCCAGGGGAAGCAGCTTGTGTAGCTATGAGACCGGATGCTGGTCCAGGGGACCCCGGCCTGGCCCCTGAGCTACACCCATGCACGCATGCACACACACCAGGACCCTGGGGCCTTGGGTTTCTGGGTCTCCACTCAGGGTCAGGCCAAGGGAAGCCACACGGTAGCACCCTCACCTATGCACTTCCTGTTCTTGAAGAAGGTCAGTGTCCCGTGCCAGGTGTCCAGGTGCACACCAATGATGGAGCCCTGGCCGAACCGCGAGGAAAAACTTGTCTTGTCACCTTTGTGATGGAGAAGCCCTGAGGACAGCTGGGTATGTGAGCCCAGTAAGCCGTATGCTGCCCTTCCCGCCAGCCTACCCCACCCAAGCCACACACACCTGTGTAGGACAGGCCCCAGCTGTCCTCATCCCTGCCGAGCAGGCTGCAGAACGTGTGCTGATACTTGTCCAGGTCCACATCTGATGTCCCGATGCCCACCATCTGAGGATAATGGAGTCGAGCAGGGGCTACGGGGTCTGGGGCCGATGGTGGCTGCCCACAGGCCAGTGGCTACTTACCATGTCGGTGCCGTAGACAGGTGAGGTCATCTTAATCTCCCAAAAGTGTTGGCCATCCCCCAGCTCCTTGGTTCCCCGGATAGCTGCAGTACCACAGCTGTACTCCATGTGGAAGCTGACCTTGCGGTTATCACAGCTAAGCAGGGTTGCTGATGACTTATTTAGGTCATCCCAGACCCAGTCAAAATCTGCAAGATCAAAACAGAGAAAGGCTCAGATTAGGGTGGGCCCCAGAGCCACGAGCCATACCCTGTCCATCCCAGGAGGGCCCATCCAGGTGCTCACACTCGTCATCCTCCCCACAGCGGCAGTCCTTGCCAAGGTGGGCCGTGTGCAGACTGCTACAGAAAGCAGCCTCGCTCTGGCCCTCGCAGTCACAGAAGGACTCCCCGGTCACAGGCACAGCACTGGGGATGGATGGCGGCAGAGAAGAGTACTCTGGGTCAGAATCTGAGTCACTGTGCTAGAAAAGAATAGCAACTTGTCACCTGCCCCTCCCCTCCAACACCACCATAAGCCAGACTGTTCATTCTCCTCCAGAAGAGGGATGGACAAGAGGGGGACTCCATGGGGTCACAGGTACACAGCATAGCTCACTCTCGGTGCTGACACCTGACCACAACCCATTTCTGCATGACAGAGGGACCCTGGATACCCAGCCACCATGGGTTATCAAAGGCAGGGCCCAGCAGCTCTGCCCTTAGCATTCAATAGATAAGCCACAGGCCTAACCCTGACAGACTCAGGTCCTCTTGTCACTCAAATCAAGGGGGTGCTCTTGTGTGGTCTACTGGGTTCATGCTGCTACTACAGGAAACAGCCAGAACTCCTCACTACCCCCAAGGGGATACAGTCCTGTGGTTCAAGTTCCAAGTCCTCAGGACTGATGTTGGTCCAGTGGTCAGACACCAAGGCTGAACTGGTCGGGTTCTAGCAACCAGCCAACCCATAGGCCCTCCCTGGAGATCAGCCAAGGAGTCTCTCCACACCCTTTCCTACTTCAGTGCTGTGCAGACCTTCCCGACCTGCCTCAGCTCTGGACCCCAGGCCAACCTGCTGGGGGTTGGGGGGTAGGTACAGACAGCCTGTGCTGGCCTGTTCCACTAGCCCTATGAGCCCTGGTCTGTTTCAGCCTCCTGGCTACACATCTGTCCAGGGAACTGAGCAGACCCAGTCACACCCCAGGATCCTGTTGAAGTCAAAGCCAGTCCCCACCCAAACCCAAAGTACCTCTGCCATGTCTAGTCACACCAGCTATGCGGGGGAGGCACTGTAGTCACTGCCTTTGCCCTGAATAGAAGGTACAGACATCACCCCAGTCCTTTTTAAATTTTGAGACAGGGTCTTACTGAATTGCCCAACTTAGGCTTTAACTTCAGATCTTCCTGTTTCAGCCTCTCAAACTGTTGGGGTTACAGACATGTGCCACCATACCAGGTTCCTTTCATTATAGTTCACTTTTCTCCAGTGTCCTGTCTGCTTCTCCCTCCCACTAGACCCCAAACTCCCAGAAGGACCTGTTCCTCCAAGTTCTCTGTTAATGAGACCACGTGGTATCTTAAACAGGTGAGAAAGTCTCCTGTATACTTGAAGGGAAACCACTGAGAGACCTCTATGTGGGCAGGGGATTTAGCTCAGTGGTACCACCTGCCTCGAAAGTGCAAGGACCCGAGTTCGATCCCTGTTACCAAAAAAACAAAAAAAAAACTCTTATGTGTTCAAGTGGACTCTGCCTCTAAGGAGGAAAAGCTACAGGGAACCACCACACAGGTAGCGGTAGCTCAAGCAGCCTCAGAGTGAACACAGGCCATCCAACTTGAGAAAGGCCCAGGCAAGGCAGGCCCAGGGGACTATTCCACTGGTATAGCAGGGCCTCCCAACACCAAGGCAAGCCCACTGAGTCGAGCCAGCGCACAAGCTCAAACCGACCCTCTCTAGGGAGGAAGCAGACTTAAACCCTGACTAACCTTAAGACAACACGAGCAGAAAGAAGGGAGGGAGGTACACCCAGGATGACTAACTGCCCACACAGACGTACCTCAGGTCCATTAGGTGACAGAGGACAAGCAGCATGCGTGTGTCACAATGCCCATCCCAGACACCACCTGTACCCACCACCATGAGCCTGCAAGGCAGGGATGCAATAGACTGCTCTAGGCCTCATGGTTAGTAGGAGCTACAGGCATGGAAAGAATGTAGGCAGTCTCTTAAACTCAGGAGACCCCAAAATGCTGCCAACCAGGCCATTAAACCTGTGGCAACCAGTTCTCCCACAAAGCCAAAGAAGGGGCCCACTTTGTCTGGGCCAAACTACAATACACAGGGCTGTAAACTGTCCAGCTTCAGGAATCCAAATGAAAAGCCACCCATTTCCCACCTCATGGCACTGCATCAAGTATAAAGGCCACTCAGCCTGGCCCATGGTCCTGGCCACAGATAAGATGGGCACAGAGCTGAGCCTTTTCTGGACACCTCAATGTCTTGGGTCTTCCTGAGCTCAGATGTGGCAGTGCACAACTGTAAAACCAGCACTTTGGGAAGCTGAGGCAAGAGAATCACAAGTTCAAGCCCAGTCAGGCAACTTAATGAGACACTGTCTCAAAATAAAAAAAGGCTAGGGATGAAGTTCAAAGCAAAGGTCTTCAGTCAATCCCAGTACCATGAGGGGGGCAAAAAAAAAGTCACAGTTCCCTCTTACACATGTGTAGCCGAACACAGAGAACACATCTAAAAGATGCACATCAACAACAGGAACTTCTGGAAACTGGCAGGACAGACAAAATAGGAAATTTCCATTGTACAAACAGACCAGAGGCCAGCAATCAACCTCTCCCATACTAGAATTTTCTTAAAAGAGAATGGAAAAGAACCCACATTTAGCCAGGTGTGATATGTGCCTGTAATGCTAGCACTCAGGAGGCTGAGGCAGGAGGATTGCTGCAAGTCTGAGGCCAACCTGGGCTACATAGTGAGTTTGAGCCAGGTTCAAGACAAGTTTGAACTACATAGAAGACCTCATCTCAGAAAAGAAAGAATCTATATTTGTCCTGAGGTCATGTCACCTCAAGTTGCATGACTTTTGCTAGATCAGAGCCTGGTTGGACATGGAACACCCAGGAGTCAGACTATCCTCTGGCTCAGAAACACTTCTTTGACTACCTGTGTTTAGGTCAGCCATGCCCACCTTGCTGCTGGGACCTACCTGCCCATCAGAGTCGTAGTCCCAATTAGGGGTGCCTGCCAGACTCACAGCCCGGGCATCCGCATCTCGTCGGGCTGCACTGAGGACAAAATGCCACGCCCTGCTGCTCCGAGGGCGCCTGGCCATGGTGAAGAGGACCTGGAGGAAAACAGTCCCTGAGCCAGGGGAACACACAGCCAACAGGCTTATAGATCCATCCCAGTGCCCTGCCCTGAGATCTTGGCTTCATCTTGGCAGGTTGGCCCACAACCCACCCGAGGGTGGGGGCTCCACGACAGTGGATGCTGAGCCGGGCTCTGGAACTCTTCAAAATCCCATACCTGGCTCCAGTATCTGAGCATCGTGATCAAACCGAGGGAGATGGTGTGAAACACCACCCAAACGCCCATGACTGGAAGACGCCACTCGGCCCACCTTGGAGTTCCACTCAGAAGCCCAGATGCCCCTCCGGCATCTCACAACCGACTCGCTCCTCCTCCGCTGTCCAGTTTGACAAATGGCATCTCCAGCCTCCAGTTCCTCATGCCAGAAGCACCGCAGTCATCCCTGACACCCTCCTCCCGCCACACCTGCGGCCATCCTGCTCCCGCTGGGGCCCAGACACCATCCTCCGAACTGCACAACTCTTCTGCTCCGCTCCTCCCGCCTCCCATTCTACAGCCAAGCTCTCTTTTTGGTAATAAATTTAAAATCTGTTCAAAGCTTGCCACTGTTTCCAAGGAGGGATGCAAGGGCTGGCTCTAGTTCTTCATTTCCCCAGTCGGCTGCTTCGGTCCACTGGCCAGTTCGTTTGCCCAAATGCCTCCCGTCCTCCGAAGACCCCAATTTTAGCCCCTGGCTGCCCTTCATAGCCATGCCTAGCGAACTACCCGCCGCGCTGTCCCAGGCCGAGGCCGGAAGCGCTCGCCTACCCCTTAGGGCCCAGGGCTGCTTTTCATCGACCTCGGCTTCCGGCGACGCTGCAAGTCCGATCCCGATCCCGCAGCCGCAGCCTGGCCTCCCGCCGGCCGACCCCGGGGAACAAAGAGCTGCTGG